GTCTACTATGTGAAAGTGCGTTCTAAGAGAATATCAGCGCGAATGACTAGCAGACAACGGAAAACAAAGTGGTCGATTTAATATTGAAAAACTTATTAAAGCGTTTATTTTTAAATAAATTCAGTGTACCGCAGTGTTTCATACAGTTGTTAGGATAGCTAAGAATATCATTGATCAACACCTCGCAAACAAACCCTAGAAACAATTGTTTCACCTATTTCTTTAAGAATAGTAATGGGCGAGGACACTCGTGGTTTGGATAAATTTTTATCGAGACGGAGGTAACTGACAGTGAGTGTTAGGTAGACCAGTGTCATAAAGTGAAGACATGGCCGCGGAGACGTGCATACAGTTAATCGACCCTTTCCAGCGGTCAACGCGGAGCGTACGAGAGGTTCTTCTGCGCGTACAGGAACGGCCTCTGAGGCCTGATGGCAGTCGCTTCTGGTGTTGCTAGTGTGCGCCGACCCAGTCGCTTGGGACATTTAACTGGGACGTTTTTAATGCACGGACGGCTTCGTTGGGATCCACACGATGCCTAGAATTAACCGCCTGTTCGAGGATGTAGCCGTATGTACGCTTAACAACTGTGTTCTCAAATTCTGGCGGATATGCGCCGACTCGTACGACCAGTGTAGCCCGCTCCACAGGAGCAAGCAATGAAATAAATGCTAGTCTACCCTTACCTTCCCCGCTTAGGACGGTGTCGGTCAAAAACAATACTTAAACTCTTACTGCCGGGGAGATCCCTGAAATGACTTGGTCAAGCCGCCCTCTCAGAAGTTCGTTCGTCACATCCCCTTGAAAAGGGGAATTTGAAGAACACAGATTATTTCCGCCATCGGCAAGATTCTTTACACGAAATCTGTAATAATATCCGTACTTGCCAGAAGGTCTTGTATTTCTCCAAGTTGCTCATTATCGCTATTTGCCAAGCAGATTTTTCTAACTCTTTATGCTGAGCAGCGGAGTAGATTTCGTTTCTGTTGAAGGACTAAAAAACGGTAGAAATTATCATACTGCACAGACGAGGTGGTGTTTCGACAAATGCTCCTTCGAATGCTGCTGTCAGATCTTCTGCCTAGAAGGACGTCTAGGAAAGGCGCTTTTCACATCCAAAGGAAACCTAATTGACGAATATGTGTCATATACATCATAAAAGAGTGTGGTTGCGTTGCTTACTCTGACGAAAATTGCAAGCACGTCGTCATCCTTGCAGCCGTAGTGCATTGTCTTATTAATTTGGCCGTTTACTTGAAACTTCTCCAGCTTGCCCATGATTATATAAGATAGGAGAGCATCATGAGTCGATGGCATATAATCTCGGTCTATTTGTTTGTATATGTAGTTTTCAACTTTGCAGCCGTAGCGCATAAGCGTACAAATTTGGCCGTATAAATGAAGCGTCTCCAGTTTGCCCATGATGATATCAGATACGAGCACCATGTGGCGATCTGATATCGACTCCGTCTATTTATTTGTATAATTAGTTTTCAAAAAGGAACTGCATATGGTGTGTGCATTTTAATAATCGTTTTTTGAGTGCATTCGTCGGCCTATCTATTTCTTGCTGGATGACTGTCAGGAATTCACATATTCTCTCGACTGTATCTGTTAGTGAAACGTTTAAGAAGAGTGATGTGACGTCAATTAAGCACATCACCACACAGTTTTCGTTTAGGTTTTTAACGTCTTATTTAACTTAAAGATATCCCAATAGCAATGTGGTTATGGTTGATATTACAGAGGTTTGCGTTTCTCTGCTAACCACTTCGCTATCGCATGATAGGGAGAGTTACGCATATCAAAGATCCGATAGACTGGTAGGCTGTTCTTGTGGATCTTCGGTACTATAGAGGGATGGTTGTTGCGAATGGGCAGCGATTTTTGAGTTCGCGATCGCTTATGAACCCTCCTGCATGGAGTCTGTGTAGGCAGTTCGCCACATACTTCGTTCTATTCATTATAACCATGCCTACCTTTTATCCGGTCTGGTTGCCAAACTAACTCTGTTCTCCCTCAATTAACATTTGTCAGCAGTCACCGGACGTTTAGTGTTTTTGATCAGATATCGATAACTGCAATTCAGCAGTTTTGATTTTAAGTGCTAGACACTGCCTTTAGAAATGGGCTTTAGATCCTACGGCTGGTTCCAAAGATTCTCGAACTGTGTCTCCAAGTCGACTACATTAACATTTTAACGAGGTATGCAGAACGTAGGACAAAGGAGACGATGCTTCATGTGATGTTTTATCGAGAGCCATAGAAAAATAATTATGTACTTAAATAGCCGAATCTTTAGGAAGCTCTGATTGTGGTTTCATTATGTGCATTCGTTGGAACCCAGAGGATCAATTTAGTTCTTCACGCGTTCTCCCTACAGACTCGGTATAGTTGATAAATTCCGTCTTTTTTTTCTTGTAGGGGTGTCATGAACGGCTGCGCGGTGTCAAATGTGAGGATCTGGTTTTCCCAATTTTACGCGGGTGATTTTTAGCGTATCTTTCCAAGGTTACGGAGATAGTATCTGTATGACTACCGCTTTTCATTAACGGCTTCGATATTCTATTCTCCCATTGCAGTGCCCAATACATTTAGCCAGTAGTTTCGACTCCACAATCTTGGTGTTAAACGTAGGTTACCATTGACGTTGCAAAAATTTGCATTGACTAATTCGGAAGAGTAATTGGCGATAAAAGTAATCGGTTATTGCTCTTCTTATCCATCAAGGGGGATATATGAATATAGGGGAGGAAATTTAGGGGCGGCAATAAGTGACATCGCAGAAATACGAGAACACATGCCGGCATGGTTGAGGAAGGGTAAAGTAAAGAGCATACTCAGCTCCATCCTCGCACAGATAGTTAATTCTGGGCATTTTGTGAATCCAAAGGAAGCCTCCCGCGTGATTAACAAGGCCCCGCTTAATTTTCCTATGCGACTGGTTCAGCGCCTACTAGCCACAGCAGAAGCGACTGTCATCAGGCTTCAGAGGCCGTCCTGTGCGCGCAGAAGTACCTCTCGCATTCTCCGCGCGTACTGGGGCATGGCTCGATTAAGAGTATGCAGGTCTCCGCGGTCCCGTCCTCCCCTTGTCCTCAGGTCTGCCTAACACTCAGTTTTACGTACTTCCGTCCCTCCTTATACGAAAAGACGAATCTTTATCGATTGCCGCTATCCTTCACGCGTTTTAGTTTGCAACTCTTTTCCATGTAAATGTAGAGGCTTTATGGAAATTTTCCAAAAGCACGACTATGCTCTCCAGGTGATAGTCTGATTTGCTTAATAGGAGTTTTCCTTTAAGGTTCAATTAACATATTTTCTCGACTGAGACCGCGACCCAGCAAATTATAATCGTATTTGAATTAAATTTCTATATTATATCCTAAATTGCTTGCAGTTTACAAATAAGCCGACTTTTTCTCCGGATAAAAAGACCAGATGCAACACCGCTATGTGTAACAGATACGACAACAAATATATTTACGAATATTTTCGTAAAATAAACTTTAACTTTATAATAGTCATAAAGTGCATGCTTATGCGAGACGTTTGTCGTTTTTGTCTTAATGCATTGTGTGAATAATTTGGGGTAGTAAATAAACGTAAACCCATAAATTTATTATAGGTAGAATGCTACAGATATAACCCACACATAGACCGCTGCACCAACTGAGTGTAGTGGCTGGAACTGATGTTTAAACACGCGTATTCAACTAGGAAATATAATACTAATAGACGTCCCAAAATGCCCCAGATAACTGTCTTATGCGACCGGCTCTGCGCCTACTAGCAGCAGCAGAAGCGACGGCCGTCGGGCCACATAGGCCGGTCCTGTGTGCCCAGGAGTACCTCTTGCACCCTCCGCGTCTACCGGGGACAAGGGTCGCTTAACTGCATCCACGTCTCCGCAGTCCCGTCCACCCCTCTATCACGGCTCTGACTTAACCGCACTGTCAATTACTGCCGTCCCTGTCTTCCCTAACCTCTATTTACACTGTAAAGACGAATCTTTATCGATTGCTCCTATCGCTCACACGTTTCAGCTAGTGCCTGTTTCCCATATAAATGAACAGGTCAGATGCGATTTCCTCGAAAACACGGCTATGCTGTCCAACCGTTCTTCTGAATCGCTCAATGTACATTAAAACATGAGTACATTTATCAAGACTTTGACGACATTCGTAACTGAACATTGTGGAATGTCTGTCTTTTATTAGAAAGCGCAATCGCACCTTTAGGCTTTTCATTTGACGAGAACGATTAGCACGCTGAGAGGTTTAACTTGCACGCAAATGAATTGCAGTTTTCACGAGTTACAACACAACTCGTCTTCTTCAACACTTTTTCGTACACTGCATACGTGAATTGTCGATCCGCGTCATCAGTCTTTTATTATTAGCATAATTGTTTTACGCAGTCATCATAAATCACCACTACAATCAGAATTCTAAGACGAGATTTAAGAACGTCGTTTGACTTTCGATTGTGTGGATGAGGTTAGGCCGCAGAAATGATGCATTCCTTGGTTAACTACGGCATGATTTGATCCAGTACCACATTATATATTACCACAGGTTCTAAGGCTAATCATAGATAAACTCTAGACATTTTATGAATGCTTGATGGGTGTTTAAAACATGCACAACTATTCTTTACCTATATGCCAACACTAAGTTTCGTCTGTTTTCGCGTGCGTAAGTATTGTAATGCGTTAACGTCTATATTTAGATCAGCCTTAGCCGGGATCTACGCTGTGTTTTGCTACTTCGGTCTGGGCTATCCCTCACGTCTTCGGACGATACGTTGTTAGGTCGTTTCAGATTTAATTTTGCATACGATCCAACTAGTATCATAAAAAGATCCGAAGTACTACATTTGTTTTTTTTCTCAACAACAAATTCTCCAAAATAAGAGCTATACACAGTATGGAATATTTATGTTTATTTTAACTGACATGGTGTGTATTTGGCGGTTTGGGTTTTAAATGCGCCGCCATACTACTGTAAATATGAATTTATCGGCTCCGGTGTCCTAAAATGGGAAACGCGCGTAAGCAATATGTGAAAATAAACATATTTTCCCTCTCTTCATTGGATAAATACTCGTTTTGCGTACCTTCGATATTTCATATAACTTTCACCTTAAATAGAAAACAGGTTTCTCGTTATTGATTTGGGTAATTCTTGTCAGAAAATTTCGCATGCCATGGTTATATTAAACGCCGTGATAGCATGGTAAACACAAGCAAGTATACGCATTGAACTTACGCCTGGTATCAGGAGCGAACTATATAATCAAGAGAATAATTTTACCTTTCAAATATCACGCTGAATCATGTTACTTTTAAAAACATCTGTAATATTCTGTCTCTTCAACGCATGTTAACAAATCTATTAATTAAACACTTATTAAATATGTCTCTTCCTTGCTTTGGCAAATGTAATTTAAAACTTTCTTGACAGTAAAATTAAGCACGATTTTATCTACTTTGCTAAAATGTATCCGTTTTGTTTATTAGTAATTATGTCTAAAAACATACCCGGAGCCGCTAAAATTTAAAAACAAAAATTTTTACAAATTTAGTTATTTTTGTTGAATATTTACCATTCATAGATTTGTAAAACCAATAAATGTACTAAAGAAGAATGGGTTATTTACCCTTTATGCTTAACGTAGCAAAGATATGCGATGAAAATCACTAGAAGAATACCAAACAGAACGCCCAATACGATTGCCACGATATCACCGGCGCTTAGCACTGCAAAATAGAAATCACAAAGTCGAGAAAAAATACGTTCATACTTCATAGTTGTATATTTAATAAGACAAGCTTACTTTGATCTAAATCTACTACCTTTAAATGAGTTAGCGTGACTTTTCAATAACACTGATACACCTGCCAATCGTCTTTTGTTAAAAATCAATGTCAGCTTGACCATCGCAAATGTAGTGTCCATCTGCTAATAGAAGCAAAGAGGCGAACTCCAGGAAGTGGTCACGAAGAAGGAGACACAATTACGGGAACATCCGGTTTTACACAGTGTGGTATGCGCAAGACAATGTCTCGCGCACGAACTAATACACGGTGAGAAAGTCAAAAAACCTATGTTGCGTTTGAGCGCAGTGACGGAAAAGGAAATGGACCCGTAGTCATTTGACGCACAGCCTGATTCGCATAAACGAAGAAGGTGTCTTCAACAATAATGGGATTCTGCTCGAAATTCATCTGGAGAATAGTGCCTAAGAGGATACATCTAGGGGGATTGATGTCGGTAAATTACCCTATGCACAGACAGACATGACAGTCAGAATCTGGCCCGGACCTGTAGCGCATCAGATTAACTTTGGCGAGGGGTTCGAAGACAGGTCGTGGGTGTGGAGTCCCCAAGGTGGGGTTCGCGTTTTTTCTCCGTTTGGCGCACCCATTTTATTGTCCTAGTCTTGCAATCATCTGGTGTTCTCATCTGACGCGGTTCCCATAGAGCTACGGCAATGTTTTTACATTTGGCAGCCACTACCTTTTGACCAGGTCGTGCATTAGCGTACCACGAGAAAATTTCTTGAGTAGTTCATGTTCTACGAAGGTGCTGGCCGATGTTAGACGAACCACGATTGTTTTACGGCAGTTTGGTAATATGGGGTGAACTGTGGCTGGTTGTCGCAGGTTTTCCTGGAGGCACGCATAGCCAAATAAAGCTATTTTATGGCTTAGTACGCTTGGACACTGCGGTATCAATGCCAAGAACTTACAAGTGCTAGATAAATGCGTTCGCATAGGGGACAGGATAGGAGTAAGTCTGGATCCCTTAGAAGGTAGCAGAAGTCGTTTCTGCGGCAAGAGGAGAGTGTACCTCGCTAGAAACGTGGACGTATATTATAAGGACCTATAGATGTTTGTGCACGTTTGCAAGGATAGACAAGATGAAAACTGAGTAGGTTTTTGCAGTACTCTTTCAGGTATATTTTGCTCTCATATTTAGTAGCACATATAAGTTTCCAAAAGGTATGTCTCACAACTATAGAAAACTCCACAATTTACGCTTCTCTGCCTGCAGCTCAGGTTAAATCGTTAAAAGTCCTAAAAAATCCTTGGTTTAGATTTTTCGCACATTTTTGTTTTTTTCCATTACTATAACTATTTTCTTTTCACAAATATTAGCTGCATATTTACAGAAAGTTTTAACCCATGAAAGCTTGAGCAGAGTATTTTACCACTTTTACATTTTTGGTGTAGAAGGATACTATGTGTGATTAACAATAAAGAGGATGTTAATATTTGATACATTTCCGAACGGCACGTTAGTTATTATTCTTTCTCCCGTTTTTTTGCAACGCTTACGTTTTTTAGTTTCTCCGAAAATCTCAGAGGAAAAGACACTGCATCCGTTTTGGAGACACGCTTGTGCCGCAATGGAGTACTTTGTCCCACTCGCCAGACCCTCAATTGTGCAAACCGGACCTTCTGACGAATCTCGCGCAGTACACTCCCTCAGGGGTTTGGATGGACTGTCAGCGCGGACATTGTAGTTGAGATTATATACATCGCCCCCCGGTAGGGGCTGTACAAACACCTTGATCCAGTTTCGGCCAACTCCCAATATCGTAATGTTTACTGGGGCTGATAAAAAGTAAACGCTTGTTAACCGCTTCTGCCTGAAAAGTGATGTTGGCGAATTTGGTGGAAAATAACGACTTAATTCACAAAGTAGATATGCAGTTATGTAAAGTGAATCTGTGAATCTGAATGCAAATAAGTTTCATATATTCTGTTGTGGACTTAATTCCCTACTTGGTCCGTGGGCATGACTTTTTTCAATATAAACAACTAAAGAATTAAGAAAATAATTACAGGACCCCTCTCTAATAAATTCTCCAACTTAACAATCTTTCATAACGTTACGTGTGTGGATACTTACATTGGTTACCATTCCAAAACAAAACAGTTTGAATTTTAAAAATGGTCAGCAGGGATTAAAAGACTACATCATACTGAGAGGTGATTATTATAGATGCCACTGCCTACCAAATATTGTTGCCACAAACACTTTCATTAATTTCATTTTAAAAAATTAATCACACAAGACTCTTCTAATTAATTTCGGACAAAGAAAAAAGGCGTAACAAATTGATGTTTTGTCTAAGCTTAAGTAGAGCAAACAGAAAAATTTACTTGTTGGGGTAGACCATGAAAAAACAAATTTTGACTTTCATCACCAAAGTATATATCGCACAAAGCACAGTTACGCCTTCCTTACGCAGATCAGGCAGCCGTTAATCTGCAAAAGTTTGTGAGCTGTAAACTTTATCATAACTCTCAACTGCATTTCAAATAATAACTTGAAGTTACAATCTTAATCATTCACCGAATTTCCAAAATATCCCTGTCACGAAGAGGTGCCAGCGAAAAACCGAACTCAAACAGATGTATGTTTGTGTAGTTATAAGTTTTACTCTCAACAACCGGTCCCTTCACGAATTGCCGTTTCTTTTGATGAGATGATACCGACAAAGACAGGGGAGAACGAAATAGCCATTTCGGGCTTATCGGCCGTCATTAGCAGGTCATACTCAACCCTAAGGGTAGATTACTCGGGAAACGAGTCCGGGATCTTAGGTCATGGAGTTTGACACTTTACCGTTCATTCGCGGGACCCGTCTCCTGTCGGTTGTGATCAGGAATACCAACAATGACCAAAGGCCGCTCATCGATTGGTTTGCAGAACATGCTAATTCCGCTGCGATTTGTTGCTTATACTAGAAAGAGCCCCAAGGCACAAACCAACAACCATGTTCCGTAACATGATCCCTAAGAACCCATTTGTCATAATCTTATCCCTTTTCTAGAACGTATCGTTAAGGGTGTAGATTCTGCTGTTGTTTGAGTGCACATTGTGCTTTTATCGAATACTTTTTTCCCAAATATCGAATAATTAGGTTCGAAAATGTTCTCCATCTGCAAAAAATTGCGGGTCGATTTACAATTGTATTTACAATATAAGCTTATGATCACCAGGTTTTATGCATTGAACAATAAAGACAACATATACTGCTCCATGTTGCTAACGGAATACCTATACAGAACTCATTAAAGTTTGCAATATAACCAATGTTTCTGCATATTTTGCACAGTGCGATGAGTAACGGGCAGGTTCAGTTATATTAAAATGAATCTTTCAGGTCTTTAAATACCATATAGCAATACAAATGATGAAACCAGAGCGGAACAGGTCTACGATGATAAAATCTGAAATAGACGTAATGTGTAGCTGCTGAGTTTAAGGAAGAATATTTTGACTATATTATTGAAAATATACTCTAATTTGCATAAACTTTGTGTTGTCTTAGTAGTTATTTCTTGCCGGCCGTGTTTTGAATTCGACATGTGTATTTTAAGAAAGCGCTGCTTAACACTCACTGTCAAAACCGTGCCCAAGAAATCCTTTCTGATTAAAGTCACAAAAAGCAATATTGGTCGGGCGAAGAACGTGTGGTCCTTTCTGGATTCAAGATCCGTTTCGCGATTATGATTTCCCGCACCAGTCGCATTTTTATGCGTGTTAAATTTGCCGACTGAGAGACTGGTGGAATGCGAAGTCGCATGCATGGACAAAAAAATACTCTTTATCTAAAACGCTACGCTTCTAAAGTACTTTCCTTAGGGCAAGATGACCTCAGCTGTGTAAAGATTAATTCTAGATCTAAAATTTAACAAGTATTTACTAACTAGGTTGTCCGCTTATGGACTAACGCGGGGTGTTTATCGCTGACTTTTTTAACCGAAGCTGAGAGGCTTCACTGACATATGTGATCGTACTGCGAAAGCCGACAGATTAGAATGAGTGCACTCACATTAAAGGGGTGAAAAACGATTAAAGAATGGGGAAAACCTATAGGTTGTCCGATTGTGCACTTACGCGGAATTTTTTTGCCGATTTGCTTTAGCCTAAGCTGAAAGGATTCAGTGACACTTATAATCGTAGTGCAATATCGGACAGAGTAGCGTAAATGTTCTCGCGAGTATTAAACGGAGGCCATAAAAGGGTAGAGAGATGAAAAGAGAATGTAGGACGTCGCCGCGCATTCGCTGTTAGATGGTGTGGCTAAACCTGGCTGTAGTGTCGAAGACCACGCCATATCCAAGCCAAATGACCAGGTTTGTCTGTGTCATAACCACCTCTCGCCACGGCAGCAAGACGGGAGCAGCCGATGCTGGTGCTGGCAGGGTTATTTCAGCGTAAATTCAATGGAGCGTCCTACTTTTGGTCAACAAAATCCTTCTAATAGTTAAAACAAGGGGGTTAATAGTCGCTATGATCGTCTTCTGAGCTATAGGTTCGTAAAAATATAAATAGATTATTGAATGCGTACAGTCTGACGCGACTGATTTCTACGCTCTGTTTAGGAAAGCTACGTATGGAAGCGTCTCCGGTTCCGTATTTTAAAATCGCCTACTACTCAAATTAACTCACCATTTGGGAAAGTCGTCAAGGTCAGTACAGTTTCAGAGAAAGCCCAGGTAATGCTGAGCTTGCTGTAAATGTCCACGGTTGCGTTGTACGATGTTAGCGCATTTAAGTTTGTAAAGTTCACACTGTTACTTCCAATTTTTGATTCGTTAACTACCGGTCGTGGAGCGTCCGTTCCCCGCAAAATTACATATGTCAAAAGTCCCTCGGCATTTTGCTGCGGTGTTTGCCATGTCACTTCCACTGTTTCATTGTCCCATACTTTTCCAGTCAACGATTGTGCGGCTAAACGGGCGAGTATAAGATAGGGTATGTCACGTATGTGTATTTAACAATGAACTTTAGGCAAGGAGTTTGTTATTGTTGTAGTCTGCCTAGGTGATATATGAGACATTTTTCAAACCACTGGTCAAGCGTGTAACTGATTTTAGTACATTTCCACATTAGTTTGAGTATGAAATGACACGTTGAAAATCAATTAGCCTTTTAATAACCTCTCGTATCAGCGACATGCCGCAAACGAAAATCAGCTTTCTAACCAAATAACGCATTAGTTGAGTCTTGATTCTCTTGACAATAATGTTTAGACTCATGTTAATTTCGGTATATCGTTGTTTTATGCAATAAGTGTGTCAGGCATATTTATTATTTTGCACAATGCCTGACATAATCTCACCTTTGGGAGCAGTGCACACGTCCACTGCCTTTGACTCTGGAGAACATTTGGTAGTGCTCACAGAATTTAAAGGACAGATGAACAGCTGACATTTATAATTTGTATTTGCCTCCGTGTCGTTGATTGTGCACGAAAAATTTCCTTCTTCCACAATCTTCTTACAGCTACTATCGAGATGGTCATTCACGGCTAGACGAAATTCTTTAGTCTTATCGATTGCCATGTTTGTCCTCCACCGCACTTCAAAGCAGGATGAACCATTTTGCATGATCTGAAAATCGAATACTAGAAGAGACAAAAGAGGTGGATCTTATAATTCGAAACATGCAATTTTATAACTCATTTAGGAGACAGCGGTTATCGAAACTATTATAGCGATAGTAATAAGTGAAACTCTTCTGCTAATACACAGTTGTTTTATTTTCCTTTTATTTTTATAAAATATGCAGCCTATCTAAAATTAAGTTATGCGTGACAAAACGCGAAAGAATTGTGACAAAATTATTCCTTCATTTAAGGCTCCATCGCACATTATCAAACTTATAACAGGACTGAAATGAAAAGTGGCAAAAAGTTCGATGTAGGTAATGTGAAAAGCCATATAGCATTAAGTTTTAAATTTTTTATGGTATAAAATAACCTTGTGTTCGTGTTTTGCCCTCAAAATACACTTAAACGTGTTGTCTAAATAACACTTCATGAGAAAAAACTGCCCATTATTTGTCAAAAATTATGAATAATTTGCTTTTTTCGAAATAAATTTGTTCGCAATACAGTCAAATGTCAATTTCTGAGTAAATTCAATTAAGGCAAAATTTTCATGAAAGTCGCAAACAAACCCGCGGAATCGACGCTCTGAAAACATAAAAACAGGCTTCCGTAGAAGCCCACAAAGGCGTAGAAATACATCTGGATGGGATATTTCCTAATTTCGCGGATGATGAATAAATACGTTTCGCGCAAGCGAGAACGGCCACACATTCAAGGTCAACGCCAACCGATGCCGAAAACCTAATGTTTCGGTCTATTCCTTTTTGTAATAGGTTTTAAGCTTAATTTAGTACTAAATGTCGAACATTAAAGACTGCCCGTTAAAAATTACACACGATAGACTTGCAAAGGTAATACACAGGTTTTCTGCTCGCCGCAGGGAAGTACACAATTGCGAGTTTTTAATCTACGACTAGCTAGTCAATTCTCGATGTATGTAAAATAAGAAATCGTGAGAAGCAAAACATGGGAATCATTTTGGTTTATTGAACTTTAGGAAATGTAGGCGGGAGCCCAAATGACAAGGTCGAATGCAAATGCACGTATCTACACCGACAGGAGTTTTCATTCAGTCAACGGCATTTTCCATCGTGAAAGTTCCTCCCAGGCAAAATTTTGGCTTTTGATTGTATGACTGTGTTCGTCAGGCATTTTCGCATATTTATTATTGATAACTTCCGGCTAAAATAGCAGCATTATTTACGACCAGCTGTGCTCTTTGTTTCCTGATGCCTTTCTTATGGACGGTTCTGTGGTGCGTTTAATGGACAGTGTGTTGGTTGACCCTGCAAACAACGACATTTCGAGTTGGGATTTTTTTCCATCTACAATGTAAGCCGAAAATTTAATATTTTCCACTTTTCCCTCCTTTAGCGCCTTAACTCGAACATGCACAAACTGACGCACTTCCAACTCTTTACACTTAAACCGTCGTTGCAAGTTACGCCAAAACTGGGCTCCACAGCCTGATGAACTCATGAGCGGTACCGTGCATGATCTGGGTCATCCAATCCGCTGTTGCCCTCTTGTTCTGGCAACCACCCCGAGCGCACTTCAGAACACGTATCTGAATGCGAAGACACGACCCCGTGGGTAGAGGGGAGAGGGAGACGCCATGACAGGAGTCTGAAGTCACAGCCAGCCCTGATGGGTTGCTCGCGAGAGTCGGTAGACAGTAAAAGTGTGCGTTCAAGCGATGACTCCGTAAATGGTTCTTGCCCACATGCAGCGCATTCACCGGAAAGACAGAGTAAGGAGGACCATGCTCGCCAGTAGTGTCTGGTTATTCATGATATGTTAGATTTGAATGCAGTCAGACATGCAGACAATGTCTCAGAGGACCTTGCTTCTTTTCATGGTCTGCTTAATCATTTACTGCCGGCAGACATTGAAATAAAGGTTCTGAAAGCATTCCGGATAAGAAAAAGGAGTGAAGACAGGACAGTAGCACAACAACCTCGCCCTCTCAAAATTATGCTGGAGAACTATGAGCAAATCATGTTTATCCTCTCTCAAAAAAACTGATCTCAAAAACACACACAAACGGGTTTTTTCAACCGGACTATTCAACAGCGGAACGGCTTAAACGCCGGGAACCAGTCTTGGAGTTAAAATCAAGACTGTAGGGTGGCGAACACAATCTGGCTATCTTCAAGGGGAAGGTAGTTCGGAAATATATGCCGTTTCAGTGGAACCAGCCTGTAATACTAAAAACGACGGCAGCTGATCAGCTAACGTATGCCTTCGCTGAACCACCTGCTGAAGGCGGCAACACAAGTAAGCGCGTAACGTCCAGTTATCTGATTGAAGCAACGCATATAATCGGAACCCATCAGTTCAGAGAACATGGCGTTCGAGATAACGGAGTAATGATCAAAACAGTAACAAATCCGATGCGAAATTCGGCTGGCGCAAAACTCAGATGCATGTACACGAATGTTCAAAGCCTCATGTGGAAACTAGATGAGGTAAACCTTGCCTTGCCGAGCTGTCTCCGGATCTTTTAGCAGTTACCGAGACCTGGCTGTCCGGAAATAGTAACGATAACTAAGTAGCCTTACTTGAAAACCAGGTTTAGCGGAGGGACAGGGAACATCGTCAGGGTGGTGGTATCGTTGTGTATGTGAAGGAAGGCCTGGCAGTGTCGGAAAACACCACAAAGTTTGCGTGCGACACGAAATTTTTTTGGTTGACCATCAAGGCTACCGGTTCCCCGTGTCTCGATGTCCTCACTGTCTACCGACCACCTAGGACAGACCGAATCGCCGTCACTTAACTATTGGAGCAGTTGGAGAAATTTTCTAGTCGACTTAACATCATGATCATGGGCGACTTCAACGCACCAGGAACAAACTGGAATACCCTCCAAGCGCCAGGTCCAAAATTGGCATTCTATTACCGTCTGCTGAACAAAACATTAAAGGCGTCACTCATACAACATGTCATGTTCCCAACGAGAACATGTGAAGGACAAAGGGCAAACTGCGTTGATCTGGTTTTTACGAAAACACCAGACAGCATAGACGAGATCACCTCAATGCCGCCTCTTGGCCGAAGTGATCACATAATGCTGATGTGGGATTATGCGTTATTCTCCATTTCGCATTATCCAGACCAAAAAAGACGGAATGTTTGGCGAGGCGACTTCAATCAGATGAGGGCAAACTTATCCGGTCTCGACTGGTGCTCGTTGTTTACGGGAAATGCCAATCATGACTAGAAGCTGTTCAGGAATGTCCTTCTGCATCTTGTCAATAACCACTGCCTACTGACTAGTGTAAGACTGAATAAACGCCCTGGGTGGCTAAATAGCAATCTTAAGAAAGAAATCAACAGGAAGCACAAATTGTGGAGAAAATACTGCGTCACGGGGCAAGTTGAATATTTCAAAACCCACAAGACACAGAGGAACAAACTGAGTAACCTGATCATGAAAACGCGACGGGATTTCGAGAAGAACTTGCTACATAAAGCAACGCAGAACCCAAAATTACTCTATAGTTACCTCCGACGACGTATAAGGAACAGGCATCAAATGCCCTTAATAAGGACTACTGATGGCGTTGAGATTGCTGATAGTATGGATAAAGCTGCGTATTTTTCACGGTTTTTAAAATCAGTCTACACAAACGAGGCAAGGTTTCTTCCTCCTTCCACAGGAGAACTGCCGACTGCAAGCGTCAGCGATATACTCTTCTCAGAATGCATTTTCCGAAGACAAATGGAGGCATTGAACGAATCGAAGTCACCAGGACCAGACGGGATTCCACCCAAGCTGCACTAGGAACTGGCCAGTGAGATCTTTGTGGCTTTGTCGATGGTCTCTCAAACGTCATTTGACACTGGAACACTTTCTTACGATTTTTAATTTAATTTAATTAAGTTTAATTTAATTTAATGTAATTTCAATTTAATTTAATTTATTAAATGCCGGTTTACAGGCATGGTCAAGGGAAGCGATTAAACACAAATCCGACCAGCAGAGAAAAAAAACTCCTGAAGAATAAAAATAACGTTGATGATGGTTTTCATGGTTTGAAAGGTTCAGGAGAAAAAAAAACTGCTGGCGGCATACATTCGACCGTCAAGAAGGGGGAGGGGGGGGGGTTGCACGGTATCGGAGATCATCGACCGTCAAATCCTTTTCTGAAGTTGAGGATAGTCAAAGTAGAGGCTTTGAGGAACAGCTGGTGAGACTGGCCATAGTGTTCACAGACCACAAACGCCATCGCTACGGTACAGTCGATCAGTAGATTCGGCACCCAAAATTTGTGGGAGCTTTTCTGAATGCAAAAATCGAGTAATAGTTCTCTTAAATAAAGGATAATTTTGCAGAGTTTTCACACTCATGGGTAGTTTATTCCAAATAGCAATTGCATTTACAGAAAAGAACCGACGATATTAAACAGTACGTGCCAGAGGCAGAAATAAGACCTCACGGTGACTGTTACGTCGTGGGTGGATATGATGTCTTAAAGAGGTGAGTGAGTTAAATGTGTGATTATATAGGAGTTTAAATAGCAAAAGTAGTCCCTTCTGTAATCTACGGAACCATGAAGCATCAAGGCCCGTCAGCCGGCAACGTTCTTGGTAAGACAAATGTCGGTGTTCCTGGGTTAAAATTCTCTTTGTAAAAAAGTGTTGAACGGATTCTATTTTCTTCCGCTCAGTAGCACGCATGAGGCTAAATGAAAACGAACAGTATTCCAGACCAGGTCTAACGTACATGTTGAAATGACGCATTCTAATGTCCCTAGTTTTAAAATTTCGGAGGATAAACGCGGTCGTTCTACGTGCTTTGGAGACTATCCAGGCACAGTTCTCCGAGAGATTGAGACTCTTGGAGTATGATACGCCCAAATCCTTAATAACCTTAGGCAAATTTATGGAGTGACCTTCAATATTTAGTTGAGGTTGGTGGTCGTCGCCAACCACCATGACTGAGCACTTATGCCAAGAAGGAGAAAGGCGCCATGCGCGGCACCACTGGGCGAAAGCCTGTAGATCGCTCTTTAGGAGCTGAAGCACGATGTCACGATCTGCCGGCTTATATCGATATGCAACTTTAAGAACATCGGCATACATGAAAGGCTTACCATTCTGAAATAAATCGGGTACATCATTAACGAAAATGCAAAATAAAAGCGGGCCGAGTACACTACCCTAAATGACTCCACTCCTCACACCTGTGGGGTTGGAGATGGTATTGGAAATCTTAACTCGTTGTGTACGACTGCCCAGGTAAGAGGATATAAAATTCAAAAGTTTGCCATCTATTCCGAAAGAGGACGGTTTAAGAGAAGAAAAGCATGGTGAACACGATCAAAGGCCTTAGTGAAAACGAAACATACTCTGCAAATTGCAAAACCATTGTCCTTAGATTGGAGAACATAGTCAAAGAAACAGAAATGACAGGTGTCACAAGATCGAGCTTTGAGGAATCCATGCTGAGCAGCACTCAGTAAGTAATTCACTGTTAAGTGACACATAATTTTATCTTTCATCAATGACTCTAAAATCTTCGAAACTGCGGGGAGGGTGTTTATTGGCCGAAAGTCATCAAATGATGTAGATTTGCCGTGCGTAGGAATGAGCAGAAGATGTGATTCCTTCCACAAGGTAGGATAGGTTTCAGTTTC